CTGGAGGGAGCTACCAGCTTGGGTGTTCTGTTCTTTCACCAGAACGAGCTACCAGGGAATAAGTTGCTGAAATACATTCCCACGTACAGAAGTTGTCAAAGAGTCGCTATTCAATGGCAAACAGGAGGGAAGACAGACAAGAATCTATTTCATCATGATCATAAAAGAACAATTAGAAGTTGATAAGCAGGATCCAAGACCGAGTTAGACAGAAATGAGTAAGTATTAGGTCAGAAAATCTGAGGGTAGATGATTAGAATATCCAACAACAGAAATAAGCCTGGAAAGAAAGCTTCAGGTGAACAGCTTGTCTGTTTTGAAGGATAAAAGTTTTAAGCCAGGGAGACTGCTACTGTATGGCTACACAACACACACTACAGAGACAGAATGACCCAGCAGCTCTGCAGTAGCATCAGTGGATTTAAAGGATTTCAAAAACATGTGGATGCAGCCTTGAGCTGTGCAACTGGGTGCCTTGCACAGGGCTGGCACAAATACTCGCTTGACACACCACCACTTATAACTAACAGGATAGCTTGCTGCCCCTTCCCTCTACTCCTTAAACTAACACGGCCTGCTTGTACAAGATCAGGTTTCAGTAAAACAGCTGCAAAATACATGTACCTTTTTTTTTTTTTAACCTTAACGCAAACTCACATTCAACATTTTCTTATAGAAAAAAAGAGCAGTAGGACAGTCTCTCAGAGCTATAAATAAGCAAAATTACCTCTGCCAGCAGCTGATCAACTGGCACTGATGAAAAGCTTTCATTCAGCAGCCCGGTTGTTTGTACACAGTGCGTGCCTGCAGTTCCCACAGTAACTAAGATGTGTTTTACCGATGAAAGTAAGTTTCCAATTTGGAAGGTTAATTCCGGCCAGCCACATTTCACATGTGAAGTGGAACACGAGTGTACATTTATTTATTCACCAATTCTAACTTCAAAAATAATTTTCATGCAATACTATCACTGGACAACAGCTCGCAGCCATGACACCAAAGCCTCCCTCCACAGATGGGGTTTACATGTCCACATTCCCCAAGTCCAGCCATGTCATTCATGACCGTTTTCCCTTCCTGACTGCTCAGTTTACAAGCAAGAAAACTCCTCCCTTCTCTTGCTCAACAGCCAGTTCAGCAAGTTCAGTTTCAGATGTGAATCAAGCAAACTTTTCCTGGGCAGAACCAGCTACAAAATCTCTGCAGGCCAAACCCAGAATGTATCAATACCCATGCAAATTCATTATTTTTATTGATTGCAGAAAATTTAATCCAACTAGAATTCAGTAAAAATAACACTGGTAATACAAAGAGGGAGATAATTACATTCCCTTTAAGTTTGTTTTGCAAAACAAAGCACAGAAAAAAGAGCCACCATAATGGAACAGCTCCAACACACTTTGTACAAGATAAACCCAGAAGTTTTAAATAACAAGGAGTCTCTTTTTACAAAGTTACCTTTGCAGAGTAAAATGGCATTTAGAGGGTTTTCATCCTGTCTACCAACATCAACCAAACCAGTCCACCCCCCCACCCATCTCCTCCAACCAGTGCCCTCTGGAATTAGGCAGAGGCTGCTCTTTCCAGATAAAACAAGAAAAACCTGACTGAGCATGACACAGCATACAAAATGCAGCTTTTGTCAATTCAGGTGGTATGTATCCAAAATTACACTGTCTACAGAAAAAGATGCGAACCCTTAGCTGCACTAGACAAGATCCTACTCCTCAGTGAAGCTGCATAAGGACCACCAAAATATGCTTACGTTTGATCCCCCAAGAGAATTAAACTGTATTATTGTGACGACCTGTCCACGGAGCTGGGTACTGCTGTTTTAGTAGGAAATAATCAGAGTAGTTTAACAGTGCAAACAGCGTGCAAGACAAGCCACAGGCGATTTCACACTGCTGCTCCAGATTACAAACTTTCACAATATTTGAGGGCAACAGGAAAATGCCATTACTATAGATGGAAAGAATTACCACTTTCAGAAGCACCAGTACTTCTCCAAGGAGATGAATTTCATAGAATCAAGAATGGTTTGGGTTGGAAGGGACGTTAAAGCCCATCCAGTCCCACCCCCTGCCAGGGGCAGGGACACCTTCCACTAGACCAGGTTGCTCTAAGCCTCATCCAGCCTGGCCTTGGACACTTCCAGGGATGGGGCATCCACAGCTTCTCTGGGCAACCTGTCCCAGTGCCCCCCCCCCCTCCCCAGGAAGAATTTCTTCCTGATATCCAATCTAAACCTGCCCACTTTCAATTTAAACCCGTTCCCCCTTGTCCTGTCACTACAGGCCCTTGGGAAAAGTCCCCCCCATCTTCCTGGTAGCCCCTTCAGACACTGGAAGGTGCAATAAGGTCTCCCCAGAGCCGTCTCTTCTCCAGGCTGAACAAGCCCAACTCTCCCAGCCTGTCCCCATGGCAGAGGGGCTCCAGCCCTCTGAGCATCTTCATGGCCTCCTCTGGACTCGCGCCAACCAGTCTATATCCTTCTGATGTTGAGGGTTCCACAGCTGGAGGCAGCACTCCAGGTGGGATCTCCCCAGAGCAGAGTCCAGGGGGAGAATCAATTTGGTCTCAGATGGAACAACGGACAACACCACTGTTAATATGGTCTCATGTAACTACTGCTGTGTATTAATATAAGGTAAGTTTTGCCCCAGTTCCACTCAATCACTTTTCTTAAGTATGTCCTTCACTAATCATCTGCTTAACAAGATACACCTGAAGTAACAACCGCGTTCTCCATCCTGGAGATACAGTCACTGACGACAGACCCCTATATGCCCATCAGTCATGTCATGGCAGTAGGCTGTGATAACCAACCATCCAGTCATTACTGCAGCAACATGAGAAGGACATCAGGGACATTTAAAAGGAGTATTTTATTTACTTACCTGTCTTGATAAACAGGTAAAATTACTTAAGTTTCTTTGGATCTGATAGGAGTCCTGGGCCCCTTTTTGGTACTTGGAACAATCAGCTCCTCCGTATGAATGAAAATGTTAATAAACTTTTGAAAATGACTGAAGGAAAAGAGAGTTGGACAGGGAAAGTAGAGTGATGAAAACAAAAGAGATGGCACACAAGTTGGCAGCAATTTAAACTTGATATTCAACGCATCAAAATATTAGTATCAACATCTCAATCATCTACGTTCCGGTGCTACATACACTTACAATGTATTTAGATTCAAAGAAAAGTAAAGACATCACTAGGTATTAAACAAGTTTTTAAAAAGAAACAGGATCAGAACAAGATTGCCATGGTCAAGAACACCTCCAGTACGGGCTGTAAACTGCCAGAACTGAGATTCAGAGGACCATGTCAGCAACTTGCCCGTTGGACAGGACACCTGGCAGCCCCTTACTTGGCGAGGGCACAGGAAGACTGCAGCAAGAACGAACTGGCTTTCCGCGAGTTTCAGTCTGTATTCCCCTCTGATAGGTCCCAAATATCAAGATCCAAACCTCAGAATGGAGCCCACAACAAAAATGCAAGAGCATCTCCTCTGAAATAGCTGGAAGGGGCATAGCACAAGAACTCCAGGTCGGGGCTTCACGCAGACTAGAAGAATCTCCACTTTGTGAGAAACATTTAATTCAACACAATGAATTACAAGAGGACAGGTTTACAGAGTAAGAACTGTAACAGACTGTTCAAAAAGGAAAATAATCTCCACTGGCTGCAGTACCAGGTAAGGTTCCCCGAAGCAGTATCTGGTAGAGCAGCAGCAAAGCACAATTCAGTCTTCTTGCAGTACTCCAAATGAGCAATATCAAAGAATTTTGTATTTTCAGATCCTTAAGAAAAGAGTTAATATAGTATCAATCACTTTGGCATGGGATATTTTTCAAGGAGTTTAAACCTGTTCAGGTCACTAAGCTGAACTACTCCCAAAGGCTCTTAGTTTCCAGGCAATTCCCCTGGTCCCTTGCTGTCACTGCTAATCATTCCTACATAAAGGCTCTGGGAGCTACTTTCTTCCCCAAGTTTTGGGATACCAACAACTTGTACAATTAGTTAGTGGCACAATATTTAACCCACCACTTTATACTGTACTCTCAGCTGAGACATCCACGCATCAATTATGCAATGGACACCCTAAGACTAAAATAACTTTTGCAACTTAGTCAACACAATGTCCAAGCTATAACCTCTCATCTTCCTCCCCTCTCCCTATCCTCCCTCCCCAGATAAATCCATTTTTAGCCACAAGTTACCCCAATATGCTCACAGATGTACTAGAAGAGACTGAGGAATCAATCAAGGTACCCATGGTGAAGCCAAATACTTATAAACACATTAAGGCAGGTTTCACATTTCTTTTTTTGGACACAAAATACTGGTCACTTCACTGCACATGCAAATAAGAAAGATTTAATACTTAATAAAAAGCTTTAAATTTGTTTTTAGATATCAATTATAGAAAAATCAACCTTTTTCCTTTCTTGTTTTAAAAGAGGTCAGCACATACTGCACACAAAAGCAGATGTGCAGACACACCTAATGGAATGGATCCCCTTCCCTCCACATGCACAGAGGTCAGGGTTCTTGGCACCAGAAGAGAAAGGAGGAAGTTTTCCTCATTATCAGTCAGAAATGAGTCATCCTTCCATTCTGAGATGAGAAGGTCCTTCTGACCAGACTTAAACCAAAGCAAAATATACCACAGAGTGGTGTTTATCTTCAAAACTCTATTCAACTATGTTCGGACGTACACACAACTCCGTATCAAAAACGTGCACGGTCGTGCATTCGGTGTGGTGCTGGAACTAACTAAAAACCCGATTGCCATTGATGTAAGACCAATTCCTCAAGCGTAACTTCCCCTGTTAATCCAAACCTCAGGTGGAAGAGGCACTGGCAGTTCACCTCTGAGGCCACACTTCCAAGACCAATGTGGTCTTGTGAGGAAAAGGCAATTCAGTGACCCGAACTGACATATATAATGACAATCCACAAGGTAAAAATGACCTCCCTACAGTCTGGTACAAACAGGTAGCCTACAGCAGAGTAGCCAAGGAGTGAAACAGCATCTCTCTCGCTGTGTTAGCGAGAAAATTGTTCCTATGGGTCACTGTTAAAGGTACTTTGATAGAAAAGCTTAAAAATGTATCACCTATCGTTGACCCACAACAACAACAAAAAAAAGGACTGGAAATTTGGTTCCTAGTATTTTCCCTCCCACAAATTTATAATCCTTTATTCCCTCCCACTTTTGCATTCCCGATTACCCTACCCCTTTAGAAAAAGGAGGGGGAGTAAAGTCAAGTTCCATCTTCAAAACTACCCAGCAATTAATGAACCATCAGCTTCTCAGCATTTCCCGACGTGTACATCAAAATGCTCCTAGGTACAGTTGGACTGTTGGTGCAATTCACTCCGCAGACACTCTTGGCTTTGTAAATAGTTGTGCTGACCCTGCTGAAAGGGTTTATACTGGGAATTCTTAGACGGAACTCCCTAGAAGAAAGAAAAAAAACCCTCGTAAGTCACTGAGAACTTTGCGCATCTCTATAGCAAGTGAGCCCGTAAAAGAATGAAGCACCAGTGCCATAACATATCCATTGCTTTATCTCCTGTTTTTCACCTTCAGCAGACACTTGTTTTCTGGTTCTTTTCTGTTGCCAGAACTTTGCAGTAGAAAGGAATGCAAGATATTCACTGTCCAAATAAAGCTACTGGTAGTGAGGTGGTAAAACAGGAAAATACGGAGAGCTCGTACAGAAGATGGTATCTCCAAAGGCCAAACAGATTTCATGTTACAACCAAGCTTCCAGCTTGAAGGCTTGCTCAACATAAATCACTCTTCCTTCTACCTGAAGTACAGCTGCCCTTCCCTCCAAAGGGGCTTTTCTTCTGCTGTTCATCCTAAAAATTCTTTTTTTGCCTCCACATTCTTGATTCTTGCCTCTCAGGCTCTGGAGGCATACATACCAGGGTACTGGCCATCCTATTTCAGTGACTAACACTAATTGCTTTTCTTAGGCTAAAACTTAAAAACGATCAAAAATTAAAATCAGTGACTTCTGTTTTCATCTCACTGCATGAGCTCCACTGATGATACATACAGTGCTCCGGGCTAGCGTTACGCCAAAGGAACACAGCAAAGCGAAGCTCTGCCTCCTAGCACGGTGCGCTGGCCCACGTAGCGTCACGACCAGCATCTAAGGGAACTCCTGTTGCTGTATCTTGACTTGGCCTTCGATACCTACTTTCTTCTGGATTGCTGCACAGTAACCATTCATTTTTCAAAGCTATTTTGGCTTACAAGACAGTTAAAAAAAATCCTAGTTGCACCTTTAAAGAGTTCCACTGCACAAGTGAAAGTCAGCCATACACCTGGAAACGAGAAGCAGGCCCTCTGTGATACTTCAGGGATGCAGAACGTAAAGGCACCTTTACACTCAATGGCATAGTTACTCCTGTTACACCACCTTAAACTTTTCAGGTGTTTCCAGACTCTGAATACATACGTTCTTCTCTTACTTTCAGTTTGTAACTTCATGCCACATACAAAGTTTTTTAGCAACTTCCCTCTTTTGATGGTCAGGTTGCCTTTTTCTAACTTCCTACTAACAGCATTTTAAAAATTCCACAAATGTACCGTCTAATATACCCTGAAAGAAAGTGTGCTAAAAATGCAAAAGTGAGAGAAAAAAGGCAGTCAGGGGGAAGAAACTGAGCCGACGGCAGCTGTCCTTTCTGCCCACACTGTCCTCTTGCCCATCATATAAATTATAAATAATTTGGGGTGTGGGGATTGACATCACAGCCCAATTTTTTCAGAACTGATCCACTTTCAAGAGAGAATCCTTCAAGAATTTACATACACATTCTGGTCACACATTTAGCTCACCTGACATGGACATGAGGCTCAGAACACTCTGTGACAATGCAAGCACTCACCAGACATCACACCCACCAAAACAGCTGATTTTTTCCTGAAAGCACAGTTACTACACCTTTAGAAGTGCATGCTAAAAAGACAAGATTGTCAATATATACTAAAATTCCTTTGCAAATACCTATGCCTTCCATGAAGCACAGTTTAAGGTGAGAGAGGATGCTGTCATATTACCTGGACTATACATTCTCCATCTCCAGGTCATGGTCCTGCTCCTCCTCCTCCTCTTCCTCTTCTTCTTCCTCACCTCCTTCTTTCTCTGAAGGAGCTTCCCCATCTCTTGCTATTTCCTCTACGTGGGCCAGCATGTCAGCCATCAGGGCTTCCTCCAGCCTCTTTCGCACCTGCTGCACCAGTTCCTCTTGCTTCCTGCCCCAAATCAATGAACACAGGCATCAATCCGCAGAGCTGCCTCTTTCAAGGGAAAGGAATCTTAAATCCCTCGTACATGAGGCTGGGAAGACAGGCATGGCTTTGAAAGACACTCTCTAAGAACTGGCGTTATAGTATTAATGAAGATGAAGTCGTCCAATATTTTCTGTTATGAATCCTTAGCATTAACTGTACCATCTGTAATTCCAGCTGAAATTTGCCTATCCTAGCAGCTGACTCAAGACTTTTTTCTCTTTGTGGCAACTCCTAGCACTACTATTATTTTAAAGAAGAAAAACTCAGCCTACCCTGCTCAGATTTCCCAAAATGAGACTGGAGAAAATTAAGTTTCTGACCATTTCAATCTTTTTGCTCATTCTCCATTTGAGTCGCAAGAGTCCCTTTTCTGTCACAGTCCTAGTAAAGAAGTGATCAACAATCAGTGGCTCATGGGGCTCCTATTTCACCTCAGCCACAGGAAATCGTGAAGGTATAAACAGATCGTTTTTTCTGGTCATGCATATATAAATCAAGCACAAGAAAATGCCATCCTGTAATTCAAAAAGATTTATCAAAGAGTCAAAACAAGCACTACCTTTAAACACTGTTAATGCATGCAAAGTAGCGTGCATTCAGGTTAGTGTCTTTGGTATATTCATTTCTCTATCAAGTACTTAAACCTGAATTTGACCAGTCTTGATTTAGCACTAATTCATTACTGAAAGCAAGCTACACCTAAATAAGTTGCATCCTTGTTCACTGTCACCCCAGCAGTCAGTGCTTTTATTTGGTCCTGTGCTGACACAGAGTAAGAAGAGAATCGAATCACACTGTTCAGGATTTTTCCAATCCTTTCTTTGCTTAGAGCTGCCTTAATCATGGTTAGTCAAATTCAGACACTTTGCAATAAAAGGAGATATACTTATTTTTTGATATGAAAACCAAATATGAACTTGAAACCTCGAAGGAACTGAGCATGGTCAAAATAAAAAATAATGGTACATGCCTGTATGAGAGCAGCTTTGTGTAACATTTTTTTTCTACTCTGCTGATAATCACAAGAATGGTTTGGGTTGGAAGGGACCTTAAAGATCATCCAGTTCCAACCCTCCTGCCATGGGCAGGGACACCTTCCACTAGACCAGGTTGCTCCAAGCCTCATCCAGCCTGGCCTTGGACACTTCCAGGGATGGGGCATCCACAGCTTCTCTGGGCAACCTGTCCCAGTGCCTCCCCACCCTCCCCGGGAAGAATTTCTTCCTGATATCCAATCTAAACCTCCCCACTTTCAATTTACACCCATTACCCCTTGTCCTGTCACTACAGGCCCTTGGGAAAAGCCCCCCCAGCTTCCTTGTAGCCCCTTCAGGCACTGGAAGGTGCTATAAGGTCTCCTCAGAGCTTTCTCTTCTCCAGGCTGAGCACCCCAACTTTCCCAGCCTGTCTCCATGGCAAAGGTGCGTTCAAATTAATTCAGCAAGCCACAGTGCTCCATCAGACATCTGAACATGCCACAAGAACCCTTGCTCCAAGACAGTAAATTATATTTCAAGTTAATACCTAATATCTTCATCTGTCACCATAAATGCTTTGCAAAGTGGCTGTGAGGTGTTTAGCCAAACTCCGGGATTCTTCTCTACGGCCGCCGACAGCTGTCCGGTGATTGGCATAGTGCTAGTGTGCAGAGCACTAGCTATAGCGGAGAGCAGGGTTTCATCAGTGCAACCAGGTCCAACCCCTGGAAGTGGGAGGAAAAGCCATAATAACATTGCTCAAGACAAAGAACAGCAAATCAGGACAACAGGCATTATTTAAATTTTAATGGCAAAGCACAGTACTGTCATTAAGAAAGCTAACACAACATAAATCTCAGTCCTAAACACTTCTGAACAGCAGCTGTACAATTCTCTCCAGGGCTATTTAAATTCCTCATTTGTTACACAAAAAACCCAACAACTTGGGAATGGGAGCTGTTGTTTTGGGGTTTGTTTTTTTTCCAAAAGCAGAATGGAAAAAAAAGGATCAAGAAGCTTTGCTTCAGTATCCCCCTCAGGACAAAGGGCAAGAGCCTTCCATCCAGAGTACTAACAGTTCCTGCTGGAGCAGGACTGGTCCACAGCACTGAGGAGCACTGGAGAACAAGGAGGTCAAACACAATACCTTCAGATTACTGCTGATTGGTATCAAAATGCCACCCCTAGAGTTAAGGGCAGACTCTGATTACCTTGTAAACCTTTTGGAAGGTCCATTGTTTTCACCAGCTCCTCTGCAATGTCAAAAGCATTCAGTCCACTTAATTTCTTCTCCCAGAAGAGCTGACATCAAAGAAAGCATTTATTGGCACAAAACAGAAATGAAATTGACAACTACACAAAGCACCTGTTTAGCGTTGAGAGAGGGAAGAACACCTCTGCAGACAATTTTATACTGGAACTGCTATAGAAGGGGGCTGCCATGTCTGACAGCAGAGAACAATCCTCACTGCCAATCAGTCCCACAACAACTCCATCCCTGTTGGCTGCCTTGAGACCTTCTTCCAGGGACTGGTACCTTCACTGTTTTTGAAGTGGAAAAGCGAGGCAAGGCTTGCTGGCTCATCTAACACAGCGTGGGACAGCCTTTGTTACACACCTACTCCTCTCCTGCTCTCTCACATGTACCACACAAGGTAAGGAATGCAATTGTACCAAGCTCTTCCCAAGGTAAAGCAGTATTTTATTGCTCTCTAGCAATTTCTAATGTCTAGTCCTTTACCATGCTATGAATCACAGGGTCTCCTCAAGCTTAAGAACACGTGAATGCTCGGTTTGGTGGGAAGTCAGACACTTTATCTAAATACACCTTCACCTCTCAGAGTACAGACAGATGACCAACGAACAGAGCTGGAGCACCCTCTGTCTTGCACGAAAGCAATTTTATCTAGGTTTTGAGAAACTAAGACTTTACCCTAATCAGTCCACACACATCCCCTTTTCACGCCTGTCAGAATCTGAGTGCAGCTGAACCCACACTACTTTTCCAGTTACCAGCTCCCGGCAAGGGGAGTAAGGACCATCAGAGCCACAACACAGGCTGGACATTCTCTAGTCTGTGACTTTCAATCGGCGAATTTTAAGCCGGTGCATGATGGGACTTAGCACTGCTTTCAAATTTTGAAAAAACATCTGCAGTCTGCTGCCCAGAGGTTAAAATATACTGCAGTCCAGTAAAATATTTTAAAGCTGGAATTTTACACTATTAGAGGTATAATGCAGAGAAAGACACAAGAAAGATCAACTCTCCCCTATTCTATGCTATATAATGGAAAATTAAATATATAAACCAGTATGTGCATATATATTATACATACGGTATATCTTATATATATATATATGCACATATACATATATATCCATAAAAACCTGTAAAGGACCTTCTCAGAGTGCAGACTCCGATGTTCTCATAAAAAAGAACAAGGATTACATGAGGAAAGCACAAGCAGAGCCTAGGAAGCTGCATTGAACTACACATGTCAGATTACAACACCTTGGTGTACTGGGGCTGATCTCTGCTGTCTAATAGACTGCACCCACACGTCAGTCTCTTCCAGACAGGGATACAAATCTCTGCCTAGCTCAGAGTTTTGTGTATCAGTCATCTCTTTAGTGTCCTCTTCTATTGTCTTGACCAGTCAAGGTGTTTACAGGAAGAGCAACAACACTGTGAACATGCATGTTCTACTTCCTTAGCAGACCATGCCAAAACCCTACAGATCTGTTTACAAACCAAAAAATACCAACCACCAAACCAAACCACCTAACTCCATTTCAAACAGAACCTTCTCACACTTCAGAAAGGTACTAAAGTTTGCAGAAAACGTTCTCAGTGCGACAGGTGGGTAGTTATAGGGCATTTTGAAATGTTACTGAAATCAATTTCCCTCTTGGAATGACCTATTTTAATTCCACCAGCCCTGCAAGAGTTTAAAACGCGCAGGTAACTGATCCCGACGACAGCACCTGAACAGATTTACGGAACTGAACGTCCTAACGATGGACTCGCTACAGGAAGGGACAGAGAGAATCCCTGGTGTGAGCTCTGCGGGGCCTGCAGGCTGTCAGCATCAATGAAATGAGAATGCCTTCCGAAGGCGCCTTTGAACAGGTACAGCTCATTTTGCCAGTGCCCAACTTCAAAGCCACACTTGTCCGAGCACACTCTTCGCATCCCTTCACTAGATAGAGTCGAGCTGAAAGGTTTCCTTTAATTTTGGTGTATTCTCTTGTTTTCAAACACACAGCATGATAAGAAAAACACTTTGATTTTGTATTAATAATGACATTCCAAGTGAATTTATGACCTTATTCATACAGGTAGAGTTAACTACTAAACTCCAATGACACAGACATCTGAAATAAAGGCCCACACAGGGTACAATCCCTCTCACGACATCACAAACACCACATTGTATCTGGTCTGTACAGGAACAGGGATTTCTTGAAACACAGAACTCTTACAATTGGAACATTTGACAGTGATCCTAATTACAATGCAAATGTCCCCTGAAAAGCTTACGACATCTGTCTGCATTTGTAGATAATACTTAATTTCAGCATTAAGGAAATGAAGGCTTGACTACAACAGAACTGTAATCTAAACTAAGGTTGCAGTCTAGTTAGAACACACAGTGCAGGCAACATTAACTATATATTGGAAATGGGGTGTGTTCCAATTTAAAAAGCTGGGAGCACTGTCTAATATTTCAGAAACACTAACTTACTTCAAAATGCCATGGACTAGTATCAAAAAATTGAAGTGGTTTATTTGAAAGTGATTTCTTATTAAACCAGGCGGTTCTTAATTCTAGAGAAGAAACTACTGCGCTGCAAACTTTACCTGACGGGGCTGGTCCACAGCTTTCTGAGGATCACTCTTCACCTTATTGCTGGGATGGTTTGTGATCTTTGTGACAGGCTGTTTGAATATGGAGGCTGTCTGTCTGACAGGCAGAGCTGTGTTCAAATCAGGCTTGCCCTAAGGAGTTACAACAAAAGGAGGGGGATAGCCCACAAAAAAATATTTTCAATTTGCTACAATGTTACTACAGCTATAAAGATGTACAGTAGGGAAGAGAAGGCTTCACAGACTTGAAAACTTGTCTGCCCTGAAGCTACGCGAGTTAGGCTGCTAAAAATCCGTACCTGCATTCAAATCTTGCCTTAGACGTATCAAAATTAAACTGTTTTCCACTCTTCCCCACCCTGCTTACACACCAGCCTCCTCTCATTCCGGTTCACACACACAGGTTTTATCCCAATTTTGACAGAACTCAGGAGTCAGAACAGCGCGTCTGCACTTTGACAAGCCACTCGTAGATCACTAAACCAGAAGATTGACCCAATATTTGTAATAATTAGAACAAATATGAAGTGGAATTTAGAGACCATTTTGTGAATCCAGAAACCATTCTGTAAATCCAGCTGTGGTCACCAATACACAAATCAATAAAGCTGGAACCTTGATCACTTTTTTTAACATCAGTTCTTACCAAAACTCTGGTTTTAAACAGAGCTCATAACAATCAGGTTTTGACTTCATTTTATGTTAGTGGAAACACAGGAAGACCGTTCCTCGTTCCTGAGATCTAACACACAAATCCTGAAATGGCTGTAGGACATACTTTGTTCTTGAGGATGCAGATACCACATCTGCTTAACATTTATTCATGAGATGTAGAAAAGATGTATTCAGGACAAATATCATTCTGAATCATCTGTGTGCTAATCCATTTATAAACCAGTAATAACTATTTGTACATTTATGGAAAGGTTGGGGCAGAACATTTAGCCTAGGAGATGGTGTTAGCTGATGGTCTCTGCAGCAAGGGATGTTTCTTGTAAAATCACTACAGCACCTAGCGCTGCAAGTAAATGTTCCAGTCACTTTGATGATGATTCTTGACTGGTTGACGTATTTAGAAAATAAGCATTACGCTATTTTCTACATTTCATGTTTAGGTGCACAGACATAACATTTTGGGTTCTGAAAAAGCTTTTAGCATCTGATGAAGATACTTAGGAATGGCTTGAGCCAATCCATCCAGACAAGTAGTACCCTAATGTCACTGTAATCTTGAGTAAACCTTAACAGCCTTCCCTCCCCCCCAAAACCAAATGCAGAGCAGAGCTGCTGCACAGCCACAGGAGTCAGCTGGAGATTTGGGGCTGTGGAGGCGACTGTGTGGGGAACGTGATCTCACACACCAGGGAAGGGACTATGGAAGATGCCAGCCCATTCTCTAGCCCTTCTATAGAGAAGATTGAGCAGCACCACAGTATTCTTCCATGGTTTCAGTACCCTGGAAGAATCAGTGAACTACAGTATTTGTCCAACACCCCATAACAGAGATGATGTTATCTCATACAAGTCCAGTTTCACACATTCATTACAAAATGCTTCATTTTCATACTATCACAGACATTGTTCCAAGATGCGAACTGGCCAGTTCCATAGCAGACGGGAAAGGGAAAGGTGCCACTGCATCTTAGTCTTACTTTGGCTTGGTTGGAACAGTCATAGCGCATCCTTTGTCTGTTCTTGTTCATTTTATTCATCAACATTTTTCCTGTGCGGAAGTCAAAAGTGCTGAGGTCCATCGAGCTCCCCAGGTAGCGTGCCAGCTGGGGCTTGCTTCGGAACTTTTTACCACTTGGGCTGAAAAAAACCCAGAAGAGAAACAAGGAGAGAAATTAAAACCCTCTGGACTTTGATACCAGCACTTGCAACTGCAACTCGCTGCAACTCAGAAGAGGTGACTTTCGTTTCCTTCATGAAAAACGATGTGCGTTGAGTTTCCAGGAATGAAGCTGACATTAAACTTAAACTCTAAAGGAATATTATTGCTTTCATATTAACTCTTCTCGTGGCTGCTTGGAGCAACCCGGTCTAGTGCAAGGTGTCCCTGCCTAAGGCAGGGGGGTTGGAACTCGATGGGCTTCCAACCCAAACCATTCTATGATTCTGTGATTACTGTGAAAGAGACAAATGAAGTGCAGACCACGCTGAAACATTTTTATACATAAAGAGGAAGATTCAGACCAGGTGTAAGTGAACATAATTCACACAACCACCAACACGGGAGGTGTCAGCACAGATGTACTTACCACCCTGTTCTCTCAAATAATATATGCCCACTTTCAAGATAATTTCTTCTCCCAGGTGTGTTATGTTTGACTAGCACCACAAATGTCTCCTTCAACTCCTTCCCCCTCCCCCCTGAATAGCACATTCAGGTTTGATTACAAGTCTTTGGTAGCATTCTGAACACTCAGGATTACACAGCAGCAAGGAGAAAGAACAGAAGTTAAAGGCTGACAAGCTGCAAAGCAAAAATGACAAAGCTTAAGTGATGCAAAGATAAAGGCCAAAACCTTGGAAAACTTTCCATTAACGGCAAAACAGAAGGGAGATTCTTTTTAAACACCTGGTTACACACGAAAGACTACAACCTGGCAAGCAGGCACAAATTACTCCAACTCCTTGCTGTTGGTTTGTTTGTTTTTTTTTTTTTAATAATACAGCGATCTCCTGTACAAAAAGCACTGTTAGGTAACCTACTTTATTTTTTTATGTATAAAGCACAAATAAGTCAATGTGGTATGACTGCAGTGCAGAACTATACAGACAAGAAGCACAAATTATTTTTCATGTTCTCATTTAGCATCATAAAACATCTTTTTTCCCCTCAACTTTTCCCATTTCTGGTTTTCTGCATCTTGCAATCTGCATGTTCAGTCTTAGTACCCATCCCGTAGAAGCTCACACTACACACATCTATGGTACTAAAAGGTTAGTTGGGTGAAAGGCATTTTAAGACCAAAAATGCCAGTTACCACCCCACTCCTAGTTATCCATTTTCTTCTCTTAAAGAGTAGTTAGTAGTGTTAGAACATTTTTTCAGCCATGTTGTATGAAAGTTGAAGGGAAGCTGTGGATGCCCCATCCCAGGAAGTGTCCAAGGCCAGGCTGGATGAGGCTTGGAGCAACCTGGTCTAGTGGAAGGTGTCCCTGCCCATGGCAGGGGGGTTGGAACTGGATGGGCTTTAATGTCCCTTCCAACCCAAACCATTCTATGATTCTAAAACAGGGTGATCTCGTCCATAGCCTACAAATAACCCTCTGCTCTTGATGTACCAAGGATCTCATTTAGAGGATGTAAGGTGAGACCTCACTAACAGGTTGCCCGTGGTACACACTGGTGGCACCTGTGAGTTCAACTCAACTCAAAGCAGCTTCATAATACCCAGGTGTTGAACTTCAGATGACCAGAAGCA